GTAAGTAGAGCAAAGAGAACAGAATTTTCAACAAGCCAATGATTTTCAATGGCAATATCCATTAGTTTAGCAAGGTCAGATGATTTGGGTTGAAAATTTTTTGGTGCTTTCACATTTTCTTGTTTCTCTTTTAGGTACAAACTGTAATATCGTTTTGCTTTTTTTTGGCTTTGAGCAACCACTTTGTGTAAATTTTTTGCTCTGGCTATGAGTTCAGCATGTGAAAGAGTACTGAGTTTAGTGTGTGAATCATAGGCTGTTTTGGACTCAAATGATTCAGATGAAGGATTTGTTTTCCAACGAAAGCAAGATCGTAAAATATCTTGACATTTGTGGCATCTGGTTTTTGAATGGACAGGTAGTTTGTAGGTGCAATTTAAGCTCCTAACGCACTTGACAATCTCTCCATCTACATTTGCTCCTTTTTCATCCACAAAGTATAAATTTGTTTCCCTTTTTCTTTCAGCCATATCAACAAGGGCTGGATCATATATACCTGGACAAACCGGTAAGTTTTCAATAGTTTTAAGTATAACACCCAAAGCAGAGTTTAATATGTTTTCTTGAAAAATATTGTCTGGAGTTCCCCATGGTCAATTTTGTTACCCAAGAATTCTACTGTAAATGGACTAAAATCCTTTGAAGGAAATGTTTTTATTTCAGAAGGAAGAAAAAGGGTTAACTCCTTCCACTTCATTATTACACTACCTTTTCCGATATTTGGAAGAGAAAAAGTAACCTTCATGGTATTATCTGTAGTGTGCTGAGTAAATGACACTGTCCATGGAAAAATACATGAAATAATTGTTTGAAAAACTGTATAAACTGGCAGAGGTGATGACTGTACTTCACTGTCATTTCCTGCATCTACTGGTTCTTTTGGAGCAGTTTGTGTCATTATTTCATTCAGCACATCTGTAAAAATACCTGCTTTACAGTTTCAAGCATCAGACACAGCAAATTCTCTATCCAAGACCATTTTTTCTGATAGCACAGTGGCTTGTCCTTTAGTTGGATTAATAGTTGTTTCTTCAAAAAACTCATGCTTGTTGCTGTCATTATCTGTCGTTATTGTGGAAATTGAACAACCTTGTTTTTGGTGGAAGATGACTGTTTTGAGCTTCTTTGTACTCATGCTCTATTTTAATGGATTTTAAATAGAAAGGCTGACATGACATGCATCTGTAGTCTGGAAAAGTTCCATCACAAGGATCTACACTATACAAGTCATTATGTAAATCAGTCTTATTGCCAGTTCTTTCATCCAAAAAATTGCATCCCACTGAAAACATATTTTTAAAAATATTTATGTGGTGTTTCTTGCAGGGAACATCACTACTCAGACAAACCTTGTTGCCACATTGTGAACAAGGCACTATACATGGTGTAACTTTCAGGATGCCCAGCTGGGCATCGCTGCGTGATCTAGTGGAGCTTTTCCCCTTAGGAGGCTTATGCCCTCTTGCTGATAAACTGCCGTAATGTTTATCACATACCCTAAGATCTTTGAGATTTTCAGGTGTAACATCATCAGGGGCACATTTCAGTTCATACCGCCCAACCATACTATCAAATTTTCTTGATCCTGCCTCATTCTCACATCCCTTCAGACAGCATTGTACACCTCCCATCAATCGCCCATGCATAAAAACTGTTCCTCTTATTTCTTCCAAAAGTAAAAAATCAAATAAAGGCTTTCCACAGCATGACAACCAGTACAAATCACTTGTTATTCTGAATTTAGTATTTATTTGAGATCTTAGATCTTTTATTGTGGCATATGGTGCAAAAGGGAGGGTGTGTGGCTTGCCTGTTATATCAACAATTTGAATTGTTGTCATCAACCTTTTAGATCTTATCAACATGCTAAAAAGGAAACCAGGGTGGTGTAATTCAAGCAGTCTGGCACAGGGATAACTTAAAAGTACACCAAATGAGAGATATAAAATTGGAAAAAGAAGTGGCATTTCTGTACAGGATCTGGAACTGACATCAAAGGTCTCCCCAAATATAATAATAGTCACAACATATAAACCCACAAAGAATGAAAATGGGAGTGCAGAAATTATCAGCAAAAAAGCAGCAGTTGCCAAGTAAACAGGATATTGAAGTTCACAGTTTAAAGAACAATTTTTTGTAATACCAAGGTTCAGTAAAAAGCCATGAGAAACAAAAAGGCACACGGTCATTAGACAGGAGAAAAAAAGGTGTGATTTTAATCTCCAAAAATATTGTACCAGTGAAAAGTTGAATTGGGGCTTTACATGTAACAAAATTTTGTAAACTGGATCAAGCAAAGATAGAAATAATTTCAAGGTAATAACATCAGGGAATAGAAGCATTTCTAACAAACAATTTAAAGTTGATCTATACTTAATCATTTGCCTTAAAGAAACCATGCACAATACTTTCCTGTAAAACAAAAACGTCAGTGTAAAAAGAATGGTGGTTAAGGCTAAAAGGGAAACAAGGAAGTTTGAGAGGTTGAAGTTTTGAATTACCTTCACTTTGAAGTGGATAATAAAAAAGGACAAAACAGAGGAGACCAACATTTTTACTACATGAAAAGTTTTACTTTGTAACTCAAAGGAGTGAGGGATTTGTGTCTCCAAAAAAGATGGGGGCTTTGAAGGGATGCAGAGGGCACATGGAAGGTTTGAAAGGCCTGGGAAAGATATTGCAACCATTGCAAAAACAATATGGACACGCACAACAGCCATTACAAGATACACAATCTTATGATTGTGAGGACTAAAAAGCCAAGCAATGTCAAAATATAAATCATACAACAAGAAGCCCATTGTCAAATATATACATAATAAAATATTTTTATTCATCATGATGTTTTCTTCTTCTAAAGAAAATAATTATAGATATATATTATATAAATATGATCTTACTTTATTTATTTTCTCCCTAAGTAATTTTTCCTTTTTAAAATAATATAACTTCTTAAATTAAGCTATGTACTTTTTATTTAAAATATTTTTTTCTGTCTCTTTTATATGTCTTTAATATTATTATTATTGTTTTTTTCTCAAGTAATAGTCACACTAAATTAATTAAAAGAATAATCTTTTTAAAAGGCAAATACAGAAGCCAACAACACTGCTTACAAGCAACAACAACAACGACACAGGCAAGTAAAATACGGGGAAAAAGCCAACAAAAAACTGCAGACAAATGCAAATAGCAAATTTTACCAACAATAACAAAACAGAATAAAACAACCAACAGCAGTAAATTTTCAAAGCAGTAAAGGCCAGCAATTACTTTGATCAAAACAGAGGGGCACCAGATTAACCAGCAAACCGTAGACACAAGCAGTAAACAAACAAGCAAACTTAACACACAATGACAGCGTTAAAGTCTGCAAAATTTACCCCAGACAGTCAAGAAGCCAAGAAACTACACGCGATTCAACACAGTATCTTCACATTCAAAAGGATTGATGAGCAAAATGGCTCGTTACATCAACACAAATCAACTATCGTATCAAACTTCTGTTATTAATGAATTAAACCTCCTCTTCTGAGGAGATTTGGTTGGCAATTTAAAGAGAAAACGGCTGACGTTTAGGGTGGATTTATCTAGTTCCAAGTTCAAAATTGCGCCCACGTCACTGACCCAAAGTGGATTGGAGTAGAATTTAACACAAACGTGCGGACAAAACAAACACAGCTTTTACACACAAACAATATAAGCAACAAAGCTTGCACACTTACGACAAATTGTTTTACCAACGCTGAACAAAAGCCTGTATTAGCCCTTTCTTTGTTTAACTTCAGTGTTAACTTCGATGGCTTCTCGACGCTAAACTGATCAAGCGACCCGAAGCTCTGAGTCGTTGCTATGTGACGTCACACTGTCATGATGACTCGGT